CCGGAGCAATGGTTGGGTGAAAATTTGGCGAGAAGGGTGAAATCCCAAAAAATGTCGAGAAAGTCATTTCCCGAATGAGAATTTGACGCTGATTCGAATGGTGGTAGTCTTGTCGCCAGCCGTTGCTTTGGTCCGGAGCTATGGTTGGGTGAAAATTTGGCGAGAAGGGTAAAATCCCAAAAAATTTCGAGAAAGTCATTTTCGCAATCAGAATTTGACGCTGATTCGAATGGTGGTAGTTTTGTCGCCAACCGTTGCTTTGGTCCGGAACTATGGTTGGGTGAAATTTGGCGAGAAGGGTGAAATCCCAAAAAATTTCGAGAAAGTCATTTCCCGAATCAGAATTTGACGCTGATTCGAATGGTGGTAGTGTGGTCGCCAGCCGTTGCTTTGGTCCGGAGCCACGGTTGGGTAAAAATTTGGCGAGAAGGGTGAAATCCCAAAAAATGTCGAGAAAGTCATTTCCCGAATGAGAATTTCACGCTGATTCGAATGGTGGTAGTCTTGCCGCTAGCCGTTGCTTTTGTCCGGAGTTATGGTTGGGTGAAAAATTGGCGAGAAGGGTGAAATCCAAAAAAATGTCTGGGAAGTCATTTTCTGAATCAGAATTTGACGCTGATTCGAATGGTGGTAGTCTTGTCGCTAGCCGTTGCTTTGGTCTGGAGCTATGGTTGGGTGAAAATTTGGCGAGAAGGGTGAAATCCCAACAAATGTCGAGAAAGTCATTTTCTGAATCAGAATTTGACGGTGATTCGAATGGTGGTAGTTATGTCGCCAGGCGTTGCTTTGGTCCGGAGCTATGGTTGGGTGAACATTTGGCGAGAAGGGTGAAATCCCAACAAATGTCGAGAAAGTCATTTCCCGAATGAGAATTTCACGCTGATTCGAATGGTGGTAGTCTTGTCGGCAGCCGTTGCTTTGGTCCGGAACTATGGTTGGCTGAAAAATTGGCAAGAAGGGTGAAATCCCAAAAAATCTCTCGGAAGTAATTTTCTGAATCAGAATTTAACGCTGATTCGAATGGTGGTAGTCTTGTCGCTAGCCGTTGCTTTGGTCCGGAGCTCTCGTTGGGTGAAAAATTGGCGAGTAGGGTGAAATCCCAAAAAATCTCTGGGAAGTCATTTTCTGAATCAGAATTTGACGCTGATTCGAATGGTGGTAGTCTTGTCGCTAGCCGTTGCTTTGGTCCGGAGCTATGGTTGGCTGAAAATTTGGCGAGAAGGGTGAAATCCCAAAAAATGTCGAGAAAGTCATTTTCCGAATCAGAATTTGACGCTGATTCGAATGGTGGAAGTCTTGTCGCCAGCGGTTGCTTTGGTCCGGAGCCACGGTTGGGTAAAAATTTGGCGAGAAGGGTGAAATCCAACAAAATGTCGAGAAAGTCATTTCCCGAATGAGAATTTCACGCTGATTCGAATGGTGGTAGTCTTGTCGCTAGCCGTTGCTTTGGTCCGGAGCTATGGTTGGGTGAAAATTTGGCGAGAAAGGTGAAATCCCAAAAAATGTCGAGAAAGTCATTTCCCGAATCAGAATTTGACGCTGATTCGAATGGTGGTAGTCTTGTCGCCAACCGTTGCTTTTGTACGGAGCTATGGTTGGGTGAAAAATTGGCGAGAAGGGTGAAATCCCAAAAAATGTCTGGGAAGTCATTTCCTGAATCAGAATTTAACGCTGATTCGAATGGTGGTAGTCTTGTCGCTAGCCGTTGCTTTGGTCCGGACCTATGGTTGGGTGAAAAATTGGCGAGAAGGGTGAAATCCAAAAAAATCTCTGGGAAGTCATTTTCTGAATCAGAATTTGACGCTGATTCGAATGGTGGTAGTCTTGTCGCTAGCCGTTCCTTTGGTCTGGAGCTATGGTTGGGTGAAAATTTGGCGAGAAGGGTGAAATCCCAACAAATGTCGAGAAAGTCATTTCCCGAATGAGAATTTCACGCTGATTCGAATGGTGGTAGTCTTGTCGCCAACCGTTGCTTTGGTCCGGAGCTATGGTTGGCTGAAAAATTGGCGAGTAGGGTGAAATCCCAAAAAATCTCTGGGAAGTCATTTTCTGAATCAGAATTTGACGCTGATTCGAATGGTGGTAGTCTTGTCGCTAGCTGTTGCTTTGGTCCGGAGCTATGGTTGGGTGAAAATTTGGCGAGAAGGGTGAAATCCCAAAAAATGTCGAGAAAGTCATTTCCCGAATCAGAATTTGACGCTGATTCGAATGGTGGAAGTCTTGTCGCCAGCCGTTGCTTTGGTCCGGAGCCATGGTTGGGTAAAAATTTGGCGAGAAGGGTGGTAGTCTTGTCGCTAGCCGTTGCTTTGGTCCGGAGCTATGGTTGGGTGAAAATTTGGCGAGAAGTGTGAAATCCCAAAAAATGTCGAGAAAGTCATTTCCCGAATCAGAATTTGACGCTGATTCGAATGGTGGAAGTCTTGTCGCCAGCCGTTGCTTTGGTCCGGAGCCACGGTTGGGTAAAAATTTGGCGAGAAGGGTGGTAGTCTTGTCGCTAGCCGTTGCTTTGGTCCGGAGCTATGGTTGGGTGAAAATTTGGCGAGAAGGGTGAAATCCCAAAAAATGTCGAAAAAGTCATTTCCCGAATCAGAATTTGACGCTGATTCGAATGGTGGTAGTCTTGTCGCCAACCGTTGCTTTGGTCCGGAGCTATGGTTGGGTGAAAATTTGGCGAGAAGGGTGAAATCCCAAAAAATGTCGAGAAAGTCATTTCCCGAATCAGAATTTGACGCTGATTCGAATGATGGTAGTCTTGTCGCCAGCCGTTGCTTTGATCCGGAGCTATGGTTGGGTAAAAATTTGGCGAGAAGGGTGAAATCCCAAAAAATGTCGAGAAAGTCATTTCGCGAATGAGAATTTGACGCTCATTCGAATGGTGGTAGTTTTGTCGCCAACCGTTGCTTTGGTCCGGAGCTATGGTTGGGTGAAAAATTGGCGAGAAGGGTGAAACCCCAAAAAATGTCTGGGAAGTCATTTTCTGAATCAGAATTTAACGCTGATTCGAATGGTGGTAGTCTTGTCGCCAACCGTTGCTTTGGTCCGGAGCTATGGTTGGGTGAAATTTGGCGAGAAGTGTGAAATCCCAAAACATGTCGAGAAAGTCATTTTCCGAATCAGAATTTGACGCTGATTCGAATGGTGGTAGTCTTGTCGCCAACCGTTGCTTTGGTCCGGAGCTATGGTTGGGTAAAAATTTGGCGAGAAGGGTGAAATCCCAAAAAATGTCGAGAAAGTCATTTCCCGAATGAGAATTTGACGCTGATTCGAATGGTGGTAGTCTTGTCGCCAGCTGTTGCTTTGGTCCGGAGCCACGGTTGGGTAAAAATTTGGCGAGAAGGGTGAAATCCCAAAAAATGTCGAGAAAGTCATTTTCCGAATGAGAATTTCACGCTGATTCAAATGGTGGTAGTTTTGTCGCCAACCGTTGCTTTGCTCCGGAGCTATGGTTGGGTGAAAAATTGGCGAGAAGGGTGAAATCCAAAAAAATGTCTGGGAAGTCATTTTGTGAATCAGAATTTCACGCTGATTCGAATGGTGGTAGTTTTGTCGCCAACCGTTGCTTTGGTCCGGAGCTATGGTTGGGTGAAAATTTGGCGAAAAGGGTGAAATCCCAAAAAATGTCGAGAAAGTCATTTCCCGAATCAGAATTTG